GGGACGTGTAGCTTTCCTTAACATAGAGAGCTACCCCCCCGCCCCTTTTCTCTACATGATCCCTCCTGTACAGGGTATAGCCATCTATCCCCGTGGTCCAGTCATGGGTGGAGTCCCACCAGGTCTCCGTTATCCCTATGACATCGTAATTGTTTGCACTGAGCATGAGGATGAGCTCCTCCTGCTTATTCCCCAAGCTCCTGGCATTAGTGTACAGGCAGGCAAGTGCCCCCTGGGGGGCTCCTTCCTTGCCCACAGATTTTACCAGGGCTGGGGCAGGGGTGGCCTCCCTGAAGCGCCGTGATCTGCTGGCTTTGCAAGGATTGCTCAGCGGGCCAGCAGTGGCGGTAGTCCCCCCGTCACCCTTACCCTTGGGTGATTAAACATACCTCCAAAAACAGACACAGAGTGCTGAAAAGAGGAGCTGATAGTTAACTGAGGTCTATCTTTGTTTATGAGTGACAATGGGTGAAACTTACCCCTGTACATATGGTCCAGGCCCCTTTTGGGACTTGTGCTGGTTCTCTGTAAAGGGGTGAGTTTTATCTAAAGTGACTGCTTAGCATTTTTAATGAACGTTCTTCAAACTGGATCAATAAGATGAATGGACATTACCAGTTATCAACATGCCAAAAAGAAACTTTTTCCTAAAATCCAATGACATATTTCTATTGGTAACATCTCCTTACACTGAACATAGTACCATTTTGCACTGCCAGCAAAACTGAATTTTCATGAATATGTTGTTTGTGAAAAGTCACAGTCTTACAGGGTAATTTTGCCATTTGTTGCTGCTTAAAGAAGGGAGAGGAGGAATAGCTTTTCAGACATCATGCTCTGTTCTCAAAAAATGCCCAGGATAAAAATGTTTCCAATTTTACAGTCTGTAAAAACATTAGTTTTTCACCAAAAATACGTTTTCATAATCACTAGGATTATTCAATCTTTGAGAAGGATCTGAGATAGAGAATGAAAATGAACTACATTGGAGGCCACATGGCTGCCAGTATAGTTCCAGTTCTATATTGTGCACATAGATCTCTGAATTAAGGCAGTTTGGTCAAACTGCACAGGTTGTTTTAGCTTTGGGTTCAGTTGATTAACTCTAAGCTGGAGCCACATAGATTCAACAAGTAACCAAGGGCCTTCCAATATGGAAAGTCTTGTTCACATATGTAGCCTATTACAGCTGAATTCCAACACATCGAAGTCAGAGAAATCAAAGAACTTCAGCTCTCCAACCACACCCGACTGAGCCTTCTCACAGGGATCTGTTGTTCCGATGTTTCTTTCTACTTCCCTCCCAAGGTCCGTATCAATATCTTTGCACTGACTCCCACATTTCTTTTTTCTCATGCTCTGCTCTGATGGCAAAAGCAAAGATTGCTGGTCTGAAATATGTTTCCATTTAAGAAAAGGGTCGCTCTTATGCTAAACAAATGTTAAAATCTTGCATGTATTCACTGCTAATGAATATGTTGCTAAATCCTTCTGTAAATGTTTCTGGGGAGAAAAAAATAGATATCACATTCATTTGCCTAAAGCATAAAATAAAAATTTGAGAGAAAGGTTATTCAGGACTGAAATATATCAGATTCATAGAAAGAGGAACGAAGCAGTCAACAGGACTCAGCAGGGGGTTTTCTTTATATATACTGTACCAAAATAGGTTCAACGAACAATAGCATATTACAGCTAAGGTTTTCTATAGACTTCTAGGTCATGCAAAAGAAGGAATTAAATAACATAATAAAGTAACTACTGTATAAAGTGGTAACATTTGCATACTTATATAATTCTTTACTTACCTTTTTTTTTTTACATAGACATTCTCCTAAAGTATTCTTAGGGCTACAGTTTAATATCTTGCCATTTAATATTGTGAGAGTCATAAGAATCATAAAACTGGTTTGGACTTGTGATCCACTTGGTCCAGTATCCTGTTGCTGACTGTGACCAATAATTACCAGATGCTTGAAAGGAAGTTTCAGGAAACCCATCACTAGCAGGTACAATAAAATGATCAGGAAGACCTCTTTTAAAGTCCCAACAGTTGGAGACTGGTTTAAGCCTTGACGGTGAGATTTTCTTATCACTTCCAAAACACTTTGTCTGCACTAACTGTTATAACTAGATAGTCTCATTATTTTTATAAATGCACAATTACTTTTTCAGTTGAACCAAAATGAAATTGGCCTCAAAAGCATTATAGATACATTGATTATAAAGCCAGAAGGGACTAGTTTAACTTCCCATATTAAACACAGGACTTCCCTGAATTAAATCACGTTTGAATTAGAGAATATCTTTTAGAAAAACATCCAATTTTCATTTAAAAGTTTTCCAGTGAGGCAGAATGCACAATCACCCTTGGTAAATTGATCCAATAACTGATCACCTTCACTGCTAAAAAAAATGCACTGTATTTCTAACTGGAATGTACAAAGTTTCACTTTCCAGCAGCTGCATTGTATTATATCCTTGATCAGCTGAAGAGCCCTTTAGCTAATTTTTGTTCCCTCTGTAGGTATTTGCAGACAGCAATCAAGTCATGCCTTTAGTAAACTGTCTTATTCTTTTCTAAATGCTAGACTCTTGCTGCCATGCAACACTTCCAGTTTTTAAAGCTAGCAGAAGTGGATAACTGAAAAGAGCTAGTCTCCTCATTTTCTTCTGAGTAGTCTTACAGACTCCGATAACATTTAAGGGATATCTTCTCTCCACAGCTATATTACAAAGGCAAAA